CAGTTCTATAATCACAAGGGGAACTGAAATGCTGTATAATGTAACATAATCATGGGAGTGATGATTCAGCTTATTCACAATTATACCCACACCCATAGGGGAGGGGATTATGTGAAGGCCAGGGCCACTGGGGCTTATGCTCAGAATCGTGCCAACCACCACAGTCAAATTTGTAAATGCTCTTTAAAAAACGCTTGTACTTTTTCTGTCATGTTTAAGAAATCCTACCCTATCTTAATGTAAAAAAGATACTCTCCTATATTTTCTTCTAAACATTTTCAAGTGTTCTTTTCACTTTGAAGTCCTTAATTCATCTAGAACTTGTTTTTGTGGAGGATGAGGTGGAGACCTACTTTCATTTTTTTCAATATGGATAAATAATTGCCCCAGTGTTAAGCAATTCATCTTTTCCCACCCAAGTGAAATGCCACCTGTCATACACTAAGATAACACAGTTGCACAGGTCCACATTCTGAGCTCTACAGTTTGTTCCACTGGTCCATACACCTGTCCCTGCATCAAGACCACACTGTCAAGATGACAAATTTTGCAGTCTTGTTACTAGAAAGGCGAGCTCTCCACCTGTTTTTCTTCAGGAATGTTTGGATATTCTTGACCTTTTGATTCTTCCAGATAAATTTTAGAATCAGCCCATCAAATTCTATTTTAAAAATCATTTTTGGATTCTGATTGTAATTGCACTAAATCAGTGGTTCTCAACTGGGGGCAATTTTGGCCCCCAGGTGACACTTGACAATGTCTGCAGACATTTTTGGTTCTCACAACAGGAGGGGATGTGTCTAATAGCATCTAGGCTAGGAGAATGCTAAACACCCTACATGGCACAGGACAGCCCTTAAAATAAAGAATTATCTGGCTTAAAATGTCAATAGTACCAAGTTTAAGAAACCCTCCACTAAATCTTTTCAATTTGGAGAGAACTGATCCTTATATTTTTTGAGTATTTCAATAGACAAATATAAATCTTTCCATTTATATAGGTCCTCTTTAATGTATTTCAATTAAGTGTTATAATTTTCAATGTACAGATCTTATACATCTTTTATAAGTTTTATCCCTAAGTAGAACATAATTTTTTGCTATTATAAATGATATTTTTAAATTTATGTTTGTTTGTTGATGATATAACTTGATTTATATATATTTTGATCTTATAGCCAGACATCTTGCTAAAATTTATTATATCTATTTTTAAAAATTTTTTAAGTTTTTAAAATTACACTTTACATTCAATGTTATTTTGAATTAGTTCAGGTATACAGCATAGTGGTTAAATAATCATGTACTTTACAAAGTGTTCTCCCTGATATTTCCAGTACCCACCTGACGCCACACAGTTATTACAATATTATTGACTATACTCTCTACGCTGTACTTTACATCTTCGTGACTATTTTGTAACTACCAATCTGCTCAAGGCAGGCCCCAAACTCATTTTCTTAACTATTGACACTGCCCTTAAGCAACTCAACCCTTACAGTAGTCAGTCACTCGCAGTGACCCAGAGGCACCAGCTCAAAGTCACTCTGTCCCTAGTTCACATGTCCTGTTCTTATTCTGCTTATTAAGTTAATTTAATTTAATTTTTAGAAAGAGAAACTCTTGCAGACTTCTCATACCTCTGGTGAGGCCAGAAATCTCTCAAATAGTGTATCATTTCCAGTCTTTGGTTACTGTGCAATAAATGGGCTTCTTGGAGCTCCTAGTAAATCTTATTGCCAGAAGTAGACCTGAAATATTTTTTAGTAAAAACCAGCATCTAGTATAATTCTGTTTTTATAAAAATGATTTCTCTTTAGTTATGCATCTTTTGATATGTATGTATGGATAGAAAGATACCTAGAATTTATGTTCATCTGATCTTAGTTATGGCTATTTCTGAGTGATGGGATTGAAAGTGACTGATTATACTGAACCTGCATAGAGTGATTTTTATGAAACAAAAAAGAAAAAAAAGCAGCAGACTGGAAGCAATTTTCTAATATGTTAATAGTGGTTGGTTTAGGGTAGAAGGAATACTGTTTTCTTTTTTGCACATTTGCTTATTTTTAAATTTTTAAAAAATCACTGTTTGACATTCATCTATGAAAATGTTTGAGTAGCGACCACCATTTGTACCATAAGCCCTGACATCTAGACTGTGTGTGATAAGGCCACGAAGCATAACTCCAAGTCAACTATGTTAGCACCGAGTTCACTGTAGGAATCGTATCAGCAACATTGGTGTTTTTGCTTATAAAAGCATGACTACTACTTTGAAGTTTAACTTTGGTCCAACAGGAATCCTATCAGTTTTAGGAAAATATTCCCATGACACAGACTAGAATAATCCTTCTCGAATAGAAGTTCCATTGCAAAGAATACTACTATTAAAGATCTCTTTGTGGAAGATTGGATGACCAAGAGAGATAATGCTTTGCTAATCTGGTTGTACACAATGTCTGGGGTGACAGTTTTTATAACTATTACCTCTAAGGTAAGGACTTAACTCTGATGCTTACAGCTCAGAGAAGCTGAGTTACAACTGTGCTTTATATATTTTTCTGTCTTTCCATCAAGCAGCAATTATCCTTAGCTCATCTCTTCCTACAAACATCAAAATCATCTAAACAAAACCACCCAAGCTACCTACTAGATTAAAACTTGGGGAAAACATCCAGGAATAGAAAAAAGGAGAAGTAGTGATGTGTGCATAACACTTTCTCTAAAGTACCTCTTTTCCCTTGCTAATTTACAACAAAGAAGCTAATTACAGCTGTTTCAGCTCTAGATCCTAAAGCCTGGAAATCATACTTCTTGCAATGCATTCATTTTTACATTTCATTATAACAAAATAATTTAGAGATCTTTAAATCCCTTCTGATGGAAATTGACCTGTATGATACCATCACTTGCCTCCATTTTCTCTGTTCAAGTAGTTTTCAATTTCTTTCTTCTCCAATACATCATCTGCTTACCACATTTCCTCTCTATAGTCTATCTTTAAAACATTACCTTTTCCTCATTTCAATAACCCTAGAGCGGGTCTTAGATGCTTAGAATCAAACAACTGTTTCTTACAAGCCTCCCTCCCATTTGTTTCTCCTTCATTTCTACACCAAGCAATAATATTACCTTCTACCAACAGCTGTTTTCAATAATAAGAAAGCTAAGTTCTGTGACTAAGCTAAACATCCCTTCTGTTCTCCAAGGCCTACAATGGTTCCTAGTTGCCAATTATGTCAAAGTGACAGTCCTTTATGTTTTAGCAAATTTGGTAGAAAAGGTTTCATTTTCCTGCTGATTTCTATTATAACATTACAAATAAATCCCTTTTTAAAAAAGTTTAATAGTCCAGAATTAACATTTTAGGCAAAGGAGAATGTTAACATAAGGCAAATACTGTTCATTATGTCCTATGTAATATGACAACCACGTATCACAATAATTAATTCATTTGTTTGTACTCTTTCCCACGATGATAGAGACTATTTGCTGTCCCTTATGTTTACTTATTCTCTCCTCCTTTAACAATACATTCTCTAACTTTCATCTGGGTACATAGCTGTCCAGTATAAAGATTACATTTCTCAGCCTCTCTTGCAGCTAGGAATGCCCATGTGACTAAGTGCTAAACAATAATATGTAAGCCAAAATGTCAAGAGCAACTTCAGTTAAGTGTTTTTAAAAGGAAGGAGCATTCACTCTGGCCAGTGTGCTCAGTGGTTAGAGCATCGCCCCATACACTGGAAGAGCAAGGAAGGTAACAGAGTAGTAGCAAAAGGGGCGAAGAAACTCTGGATGAGCCATCATTGGTTATTTTACTATTACTCCTTTTTAGTGTCAGTTTGAATTCAAGACTTATGAGAGAAATTTTCAGAATGGGTCTATGTCTTTTTTGGAGATTTATTCCAGAGGAATGGGTACCCTAAAGAAAGAGGTTCCATTACCTCTTAGAAGTATTTGGGTGGTATTTACCATTATAATTACAAATGGCCACTTCTTTACTGTATCTCCCCAGTCCACACAAGTACAGATTGAGAACTCCTGACTGAGTCAAATACTTTAATGATTTCTAGCAGAATTAGTCTGTGTTGGTATTACTATTAACATTTTTACATTTTCATACTTAACTGACATCTGGAATATTTATTCATATTGAATACCTGCATCTCTTTCAAGATCATGATGAACAGATTTACAAAAAGCTAGAGGCAAGCCTCTGAAAATACTTGTAACTATATGTTACTCCTACTATGCCCCTCACTTATGGCACAAAGTTTAGTTTCTTTCAAGGGACAGTTATCCAAGCCACATTTCATTAATGTTTCTGTTTCCTCAACCCGTCCATTCCTTAAACACAGCTTATCAAAACAGGGTTTGTACTAGAGAAGTTAGGGCAAAGTGACAGTCCTGTATGTTTGAGCAAATTTGGTGGAAAAGGTTTCCTTTTCCTGCTGATTTCTATTATAACATTACAATTAAATCCCCTTTTAAAAAAAGTTTAATAGTCCAGAGTTAATGTTTTAGGCAAAGGACAGTGTTATGTAACACAAGGCATTATCCTAGAAGCTTTAGAGCAATTTTAAAATTCTGAGGCACATTTAAGAAAATGTCAATTTCCTGATCTGTAGGATTAAATGACACAAATGCGCAAAAACCCAGATCCTAGTCTCAGAAAACAGTTCTCCTTCACATTTCAGATAAAAATCTTAAAAATCAATCAGGATGCAAAATAGGGTAGCCACTTGTTTAATACCTTTTAAGCTCAAAATCATTTTATTTGAATCCTAGATAACTGCATTCAGAAAATAGCCATAACATTTTCTACTAAATATTATTCTTCATCTTTGTTCTCTACAGTATGATGTGTAATAAAGTAATAGTAGAACTAGCGTAACATTAACACATTAGTACTAAAGCTATGTTTTACATATTTCAGTCATTCTTAAATACCTATTGCATTTTAGGTCAATGTTCATTATACGCACTTCGTTTACGTAGCCTTGCAACCTTAAGAAGCTTACACTTCTTCTGTGAAGCAGGAGTTTCTGGTGTGGGGATAGAAGTCCAGGCTGTTGGTGAATTACCTGTACGAGGTAATCTTTTAGAGAATGTCATACAGTAGGAGCTACGCCGTCTAGTCCGACATGCAACTTCCCTCTCTTTATGCAGCAATTGCTCATCCATCAGCAATGTTATGACTTGCTTAGACTTTTCCCGGATATAATAACCTGAAAAACACATTGAATTTGCTTAGAAAAAAAATTAATTAAGGCTACAATTAATTTTTATTCAAAAGAAAATTAGGAAAAATGAATATGTGAATAAAGGGAAAAAACTTGTGGGTGGATGGATGGGCAGGCAGACAACCACTATGTACCCACACTGTTAATATGTTACCCTGGAGGGGTACAACTGGGTAGGAAAAGAGAAGGGAGGGCAACTGACTTTTCTTTGCCATAAACTCCTATCAGCTTGATGCCATTAATGGAGTCCAGAGCACAGTCTAAGACCTGAATTCTAGCCATGCTGTTGCACTCTATCATCGGTGTGACTGTGAACCAGGCAGTCTGTCTGGGCCTGAGTTCCCTATCTGAAAACCAGTATAAGCATATCTGTTCAGTCTAAGTCACAGATATAAAAGTATTCTCTTTCAAATATATGGTAATATCATTATTATTCTCAACCCTCTTCAATGAGAAATGATAAAATAAATCCCTTACTTCTCCACATCTTGGAACCAACTTATATTAACATTTCATGTTGTTCCAAGCCTTCTTTGAGGTAAGCTGAAAAGTCCCTAAAGATCCACTATTATGTTCATTTTGGGCTCCAAGTGTGATGAATTAAGAGTTAATGTTTCCAACTATAATTTATTAATAGTGGAAGTAATTTGAAATGGTCAAATTCAGGGTATTACAGGGGTGGGCAAAGTAAGTTTACAGTTGTTTGTATGGAAAACAATACAGTAATACATTATACTGCAAGAATAAACTCTGTTTTGCATACTCACAACTGTACACCTACTTTTGCCCACTCCATATCTAGAGAAGAGGGGCCAACAATGTTCTCTAAGTTCCAGTCATTTCATCAGGGATTGACAGAGATTGCAGAAGAAACCTTTGCTCAAGTTGCCATCTTTTCCAAGATTATGTTATCTAATTTCACTTCTTAGTCATTTCTTCCTTTCAAACTTCTTGTGTAACTGTTTCAAACCTTATCATTCTAAACGCCCTAATTTCCTATAATTAGCTTGCAGTTCACAACCAAAATATTCCACAGTGTTTTGGGTTTCCGCTCATTGTCTATGATGAGCAGAAGCCGGCTGTGACTATTGGCCTTTGGGGACTAGACAACACACCAGACATGACCCCCTCTACCCGCTATAACTGACATAGCTTGGTTTGCCAGGGCAGGGGGCAGGGCTGTGTACAAAAAACTCGTTTTCCCATCCTTAACTTCAGGAGCTCACTCCTTCCACTTTTCCCTTCACTCCCCCTACTCTAGCCACCTAGCTGTGTTATCCTATAGTCCCACCACACTCTTTATCTCCTCAGAGCTGTGTGCTGGCTGTTGCTTCTGCCAGGAACCTCTTTGCATGGCTAGATCCCCGATTCATTCAGGTCTCTACTCAAATGTCACCTCCTCAGAGAAGCCTTTCCTCTGCTCACCCTCTCTAAAATGGCCCGAGCCCATCACTCTCTACTCCCTCACCCTACTTCATATTTCACCCTGGCGTTTTTCACTACCTAATGCTGTGTTACATATTCATTCATTTACTGTTTCCTCACCTAGAATGTAAGCTCCTTGAGGGCAGAGAATCCCATTCACCCAGTATCTCCAGCATCTAGAAGAGTGACTGCATATGGTAGATGGTTAATAAATACTTACTAAATGACTCAGTAAAAGAAGCAAATGACCAAAAATCTCAATTTTCTCCTTGACATAGTGCAAATGGATGAAAGATAATGAGCACCAATTTACAACCTAGCTGCCTGAGGAAGCTACTTGGACTGAAATAACTTCTTGCAACAACCCTAATTAGAAAAATTTAGAAGTTATGGGACGGATATGGAATACTCTACTTGGAGTCTGCATGGATTGATGGGGCTTGAGGGCAGCTCTACTCATTCAAAGGGACAAGCCTGTACACAAGCAGAAAGGCAACTGCAGTAAGAGAAGACTTCTCCCTGAACCACCAGGGCTCCTCCCTGAGGTAGCTGTCTGCAGGATCAGTAAGGTCTGGCCACAGAAGTTTACTGAAAATTGGGAAGAAATCACCCAGATGTGAACTTCCCATTCATGGCTGCCCACTGCCCTGGCTACCTCCCCACCACCCTCAAGATGCTGGAGAATACAAACCTGGCTGTTCTAAAACACCCAAGTTGAAGGTGAAAAACTTCAAGAACCCAATAAACCTGCTTCAAGGATGGGTTAAATAATAACAGTAGTAAAAATAAGATGGCATCTACCTCACTTCTAACCAATATGTATTTAAATAAAGGAAAGAGGGCACAGTACTACTAAAGAATAGTACTGGAAATAAAATAAGCTTGGGCAGCAACTGTGTTGTATCTGAGAGAGAGAGAGAGAGAGAGAGAGAGAGAGAGAGAGAGAGAGAGAGAGAGAGAAAGCAAGTGGGAGGGGAGGGAAAGGAGAGAAGGTAAGAGGGAGAGAAGGGGAGGGAGAGAGATAAAGAGACAGAGAGAGGGAGAAAATATGGATTCTCTGAAGTAAGAAATTAAACTATGCAAGAGATCAATATCCAAAGATATTGTATAAAACACATCAAGATGAAAAGCCTGTTAGTTGAGGTGAAGGTTAAAGTAAAAATAAAGTTATATACTGTTTTTAATTAGAAACCTTTGGTTGTAAGTGACAGAAACACAATTTAAACTGGTTAAGGCAAAGGCCATGGAAAAATCAGAGATTGCAACTGGGCCTCAAGTCCAAATGAAGCAGAGTCTGAAAAACTGCCAGGAAGGACTCTTTTCTCCTTTCTGTCTCTGCTTCTCCCTGTGTAATGCCTTCATTTTCTCCTGTTGCAGGTTGGTTCTTCAATCTGGATGTGGATATAGCTACAAAGAGCTCCAGGTTCACACCTCATAGTCTGCCACCTGAGAAGTCTCCCTCTCCCTTCCTTCAAATTTGAAAAATCCAGGAGAATAACTCTGGTTGTCCCAGCTTTGACAGTCACATGCCCATCCCTATGGCCAGAGAGTGGGATGTTACCCTTGGCAAATCCCACTAGAAAGACACAGCATTGTGAGGGGAGGGTCAACGGGACAGAAGAGTGAACAAGCAGGTGGCCAACTCAGGAGTCCTCCCAAACTCAAGGAGAGGTAGTAGAGGATGCGCAAGTCACAGAGCAACTATGCAACAGGCCAACAGCCAAGGTTATTCACATTCAACCATGTCTTGAACACTTAAGTTTCAGGAAATGTTCTAAGCAGTGAGGGCACAGGTGAGAAAAAAGAGGCAAGCTCCCTAAACAAGGTAATTCCAGATAAAAGTAAATGCTCTAAAGGAAATAAAGAAGAGTGATGTGCTACACATTAATTTGGAGTGTGGTCAAGAAATGTCTTGCTGAGGAAGTACCACACCAGTAGAGTCTTGAACAGCAAGAAAAAGCCCGCTATGCAGATGTACCAGAAGAGAGCGCCTGGTAGAAGGAACAGCTCAGACCTCATTTCTTCAGGAAAGCCTTTAGCTGAGAGATAACCACCCCCCCCCACTCGCCCCACACACATCAGGGCCACAGACTTGGGCAGGCCCTGCTTTCACACAGTCTCTTAGCACCTACACTTATCTTTTATAGTATTTCCAGTTTGTAATTGCCTATTTATTTGATAAATGTTTTTTTCCTCCACTAGTGTATAACATCCATGAAGGCTAGAACTATACTTGTTTGCTTAAGAGATACTTAATGTTGCTCTGGCCAGTTTTGCTCAGTGGTTAGAGCATTGGCCCACAGACCACAGGGTCCCAGGTTCAATATCCAGTCAAGGGCATATACTTCAGTTGTGGCTTGATCCCCGTCAGGTGTGTGGGGGAGGTGTTTCTCTCTCTCTCCCCTCCATTCTAAAAAAATTAATGGAAAAAAATATCCTCAGGTGAGGATTGAAAAAAAAGACATGTTTGTTAAATAAATGAATGAATGCAGAAGAAAAACTTCCCAAATACAGAGGACTCTATGTAAGTTCATAACTGAACATCAAGTAAAGAGATTTAGAAGTATGGTAAATTCACAGATCTTGGGCACTGAGATGTACCATCATGAAAGATACACACCAGATTTTTAGAACAATATGTATTAAGCTTCACACAGAAGTTATAAAACATCTTAACACTCCTCTCTCTGTTCCTGACCCACCAAAATCTACCAAAACCAACTCTTCTCCCCATATTCCTTTCTCAGTGAATTTTATCTCCATCTTAAGCCAGAAATATGAACACTGACTTCTTCAAATTCAATAATCTATGCCTATGGATTGTACATACTAGATATCTTTTAAATCCATTCTCTCCACTCCATCTCTCTGATCACTTGTTGCCTGTGGTGTTCTAAAGTATTTACTTACTTTTAGCCTCCTTTCCAATCTACCCTCCACACTGCCTCAGGGGTGAGGGAGGGGAGGGAGGGGGGGAAGTATCCCAAAAATATCTGATTAAGTTATTTTTAGGTTAAGAAACCTTCAGTCACGTTGGAACAGTAAGTTCATGCTTCAAAGTACCCCTCTGCTCTGCTCCAAATACACAGCAATAATAGACATCACCAGTCTCAAAAACAAGATAAAAATCACCATGAGCCAGAAATATAAGAGAAATGAAAAGGTAGTAAGCAGCGCTGAAGCCACAGGCTATTGGGCTCTTGATCTGGCACCAGGAGTTCAGGTGTTAGGGAATCAGCGCTGATCTCACTCTTTGATGTTAGGGGTTATCCATGTTTGTAAGAGAAGTCTGGGAAGAAAAGAAAAGGCCACTAATTGCTTCCTGGGCTATAATTTATTTGTAGCTGTGGATCTAGAACAAGAAGACACACATGCAGCCTTAAGGCCTGAAACTAAACTAAGCCACCTGCTGGCTCAGTGACTGAATTCATGCATGACACACACCCTAGTATCATCTCAGGCATGAGCCCTGAGCCACCTTTATAAGGGCTGTACTGAAGGCTGTAAGGGAGCTGGGTCGTGGGAACAGAAAAACCAACATAAAGGGAAAAGTGAACATGGGTCGTTGGGGAATAACATCTCAAAATAAGCCTGAAAACTACAATTCCAAAATAGGTTTTTTAAAAATATGATGCTAATAGTCAATAAAAGAGCAATCAAAACAAATTCACTCCAAATAGATCAGTATTCTACAAGACTCTAGGATTTTCTATAAATCAATAATCTATATTATTATAGGATTTAAACAAAGATTTTATTTATTTATTTTTTTGTTACTCCTTGCCCGAGAACATTTTTCCCATTGATTTTTAGAGAGTAGAAGGGAGAGAGGGGAGGGAGGGAGAAAGGGAGAAAAGGAAAGAGGGAGAGAGAGAGACAGAAAGAAACATTGATGTGAGACAGAAAGTAGATTAGAAGTTAGCAGGGGAGATATGCTTAATGGTTACAGAGTTTCTTTGAAATTTTACAGGTGAAAAAGTTTTGGAAATAATAGAGATGGTTACACAACACTGAGAATGTAATTAAGGTCTCTGAATTATACATTTAAAATAACAAATTTTATTATATATATTTAAAATAATATATCAAAGCCATAGAATTGTACACTTTAAATGGGTGAATTATATAGTACTGTGTATGACATAGCTCAATAAAGCTGTTTTTTAAAAAGTAAAGTCCTGGCCAGTGTGCTCAGTAGTTAGAGCATCGGCCCATGCACGGAATGGTTGTGGGTTTAATTCCCAGTCAAGGGCACGTACCTAGGTTGCAGGTTCTATCCAGCGCTGGTTAGGGTACATGCAGGAGGCAACCAATCAATGTGTCTTCTCTCATATCAATGTTTCTCTCTCTCTCTTTCTGCCCCCTGCCTCCCTTCCACTCTCTCTAAAAATCAATGGAAAAAATATCCTTTGGTGAGGATTAACAACAAAAAAGTAAAGAAAAAAAAGAGAAATGAGGTCTCTCAAGCTACAAAGACATGGAAGAATCTTAAATGCATATTGCTAAGGGAAAGAAACAAGTCTGAAAAAGCTGCATACCATATGATTCCAACTATATGACATTCTGGAAAAGGCAAAAACTATGGAGACAGTAAAAAATCAGTGGTTGTCAAGAGCTGGGGAGGGTGAGGCAGGGGAGGATGACTAGGCACAGGGCACTTTCAGGTGGTGAACTATTCTGTAGGCTAATGGAATGGTAGATACATAACACTGCGTTTCAAAACCCATAGAACTGCAGAACAGAGTGAACCTTAATGTAAACTAAGGACTTCAGTTAATAATGTATCAATATCGGTACATCATTCACAACAAATGTACAACACTAATCCAAGATGCTTAATAGGTGAAACCATGTGCGGGTAGGGAAGGGTATGTAAGAACTCTGTACTTCCTGCATAATTTTTCTGTAAACCTAAAACTGCTATAAAAAATAGTCTATTTTTAAAAATGTATACTTAACACAGACACTGCACTGAATTATACCCTTTTCTCATGATTCATGAGATTATTCACTTTAAACACAAATGATAATTTTACATCAGATGGGGAGGAAGTGCTGATTCTTTAACCATTGTAGAAAATCAGGGACTACTGAATCATCTCAGTTCAGTATTCTATATGCCCTTTCCCTACTTCACCTCCTCCTCCACCCTCTACAAAATTATTTTATCACCTAGATTTCTGTATTTATAAAACTACTTGAATCTACCTAGTCTTTGAAGACTCCACAGTCTTTGGAAACATTTCTTTACTTTTAAGACTAAATTCCAACCTAATTATAATTATGAATTACAGTGACATTATTATACCAATTTGCCATGCCTCTTGTTTATTCACTTTGCTCATTTTCTGTGGTGTCCTTTTATCATGAACCTGAGTGTTAGTTTTACACATCCTTTTGGGGGAAAGAATACTGCTCTCTAAGGCTCTCAAGAGGCAACACAAAGGATTAAACTGGAAACCACAACTGTCCTAGAGGAAAGGTAGCTAATATATTTAAGAACAATTTTCCCCCAGCTTCTAGTTTAAAATGATTCCTTCTCAAACTCCTATTCTTTATTGGCACACTGTATAAATTTCTGTTACCTTGGTCTTTTCCAGCTTCATCTATGTGTTGAAAATCTTTCAGCATTTGAAGGTTACAGAACCCCTCTCTGCAAAGCTGAATAACTTTCTTAGATCCATTCTTGATGAGATAATCCATCAGCATAAGGGATTTATACACATGGCGCCAGTTCTTCCCATGGTCATTTAGTCTCTGCCATAGCATATTCATAATCTCTGAGAGAGAATTCACATTGTAAGTCAGGTCACTGATAGCTAACATCAGAGAACTAGAAGGACCCCAAGGATCATTAGAAGTTGCTTCCCTGACTTTTATTTCAGCATCCGAGTAGTTTTTCACGAAGTTTTTCACTTGCCTCCTGAATGCCATAGGTAAGACAAGTTTGAAGGTGAGACGGGATGAGAGCAATGGAATACGAGTTTATGTAACCAGTTTATAAAACCCTTGATAGGTAATTGGCCTCTGTTTCTGCTGTTCCCAAATACAAATGATTAATCATCATCTTGACAAGGCATCAATTTCCTGCAAAGGAAAGCACACGCAAAAAAGTAAGTTAATTATTGTTTTAATATCTACTGAACACCAAGTCAGTTTGAAAAATCTAGCTTTAGTTTTAGAATTAAAACTAAATTTAGTTTTAGAATCAGCTAGAATTAGGGGTACCATGTAAATATTCCTAGGGTCATTATGGGAAAATCTCTCATAAGGGATTGGCTTACCTAATTTAGAGAAATATAAGTGGTCTTTTTTTTTTTATTAAATATATCTTTATCGACTTCAGAGAGAGGAAAGGAGGGGGAGAGAGAGACAGAAACATCAACGATGAGAGAGTCATTGATCAGCTGCCTAGCCCGCAATCCGGGCATGTGCCCTGACCAGGAATCAAACCCCGATCTCCTGGATCCTAGGTGGATGCTCAACCGCTGAGCCACTCCCGGCCGGGCTAAGTGGTCTTTCTAAAGGTTCCTGCAGAAAATACCATTCATCCTCTTTGGACAGAAATAAAATTATTACAAAGCATCTCATGGACAGTTGACAACTTAGTATAAGAAAATGGAACCTGGGCTCTGACATATCATGCTTTAGATTTGTTATCATGTATAAAAATATTAAGTTCTAAAAGGAATTATGTTAAAAATTTAGTCTTCGGATCACCAAGTAACCCTATGGTCATATTGTTTTCAGAGCTACCAGCCAGATCTAAATATGGGCTGTTTTCCCATTACTCAAAGGGGGGAAGGGTCACCAACTATTAAGACAAGTAGTTGCACCTCTGTGGACTCCACATCTGACTCATGGTACTGTAAATCAATATTTAGTTCTGGTAAGACTAGTAAGTTCAAGGAAAGGTTAAATTACTTTCTCTACTCAACTTTAGTAGAGGATGTCTGAGTTTAGAACTAAACAGTGTCAATAGTATGATTCAAACAGTGTTAAGAATTTTCCTAAAATTTGAAGTGACTGGCATGTCTCTCTCAGATCTCGAAACAAGTACACAAAGGCAGGCCCATGTAGGTGGACACAAAAATACATTAAAACTTAAACAGGGTACGCAGCCCCAGAACTTTAAATGATGCTTGTGAATGATCAATTCACAAGTTTATATGAAACTATTCCTTTTCTTCTTTTTCATTCTTTTGCATTAAGGTGGGTCAGTTGGTTTGCAGTTTCCCTAGTGATTCACCACTGATGACCACTAAAATAGTGTACACCAAATTGATTTCAACCCCTGTGAGCATATACACCCAATGAAGCCTCCACAATCGATAATCAGGTTTTGCCAGAGAAACTGTATACATATAAAAGAAAATGGTTAAAATCCATAACAAATGTGTTTATTTTTAGTTTTGTCTTGTTTCTCTTCCTTGACCTTCTCAATTGCCCGCTCAGGCTTGATTACTTCCTGTGTGTATTTAAGGAAGACATAGATTTTCAGAAGCATCCTAAATGACCTATCATGTCTTTCTTTTTAAATAAGAGGAGATAATTAATGTTTGTGGGGTTTTTTGTAAAAATACATCCTCAAATAAGCAAGATAGAAAATGTATCAGTTTAATTAAGATTTCTCAGAAAGAGACTATTATCAACCCTAGAAAGAAAAAAAGTTGGGTGTTTTTAAATTTTTCCGATTTTCTCTCATTTGCACTTCAAATATAAGCATTTTTAGCTGATCACTACTGCAACAAAAACCCAATTTATAGTGTGTATCAATAAGCTATTAAAATTTTCAATCATGAGGGTTTTCTTTTTCTATTGTCCTTTTTTCTCCTCTACCAAGCTCACTCAATGCAGAGATGCACTGTGACATTGGCTTAGAGCAACAAATATTGATCTGATCCTCACAAGTCTATTTAAAAAACATACTGTTAAAATCATAACCTTCTGTAATAGAACAAGTAATTAAAACCCTTTTTTTTTCTTTTTTGGATAGCTACCCATCTATATTTTGGTAGGACAAAACCCTAGTTTTTAGTTTTCCTATTTTCTCTAACCTGCATTTTTAAATTTAAAAAAAATGTTTTCTTAAATGAATTTTCTGCCCCAGATAACTATCTAAATAATAGCCCTCAATCCAACAGAGAAGTTTAAAATGGATGTTGTTGACATCATACCAAAATTAAATACATTTCCAACCATTAGAAAAACCAAAAAGAAAAAAGTCTGGATAAGTGAATTATTATCATTTATTAATATATGGTACTTTGAGACATGAATATAGAATATGTAAGACATGATCCTACTATTGATATGTTTTCACACTAACAAGACGTTCAATTAATTGTATTGTAGATTATACATTGGTTTATTATGTGTTTTAGACACCTGACTACATGCAAACACTGTTTACTCATACCATTAAAAACTTGACATTATCACATTGATGAGACAAAATTAGTGCCCAAAAGGGTCCATATTCAAACTTGAATTTGGGTAGTGTGGCTACCCAAGTCCCTATAACATGTAGAAATGGAGGGAAATAAGATATTCCATGTCACAAAACTATGTCACCTCCTCTGAGAAGCCTTCACTGACCCCGCTAACTACTTAGGTCTTCCCATCAAATTCTTTTTAGCCCTTGGTGTATTTCCTTCATGGACTTATCATGATCTGTACATACATATTTGTTATTTGCTCTTTGGTTTTCTCCAGCACCAGCCTGGCCCTTGAGAGCAGAGACCCTGACCATCTTATTTACCAGTGTAATCCTATTGACTAAGGTACGTAGCACATAGCAGGTACTGAAGAAACAGGTGTTGGGTGAGTGGCCAAACGGTTGAATGATTCTGCTTTGAGATAAACCTGCCTCAATTCTACATCTTTGGATTATAAATACGGTATTTAAAAAATATAATCCAGCTCTTGTAATTGTCAAGTAAAATTCTAGAGTATTGAGCAAATATTTTCAAATCAATCAATAAATACTTCTTGAATACCTACCATTTATACAGCTTTTTGGGAGACATAAGAAATATAAAACATGATCCCTACATTAAAGCACACATCATTAAGGAGCTTTTCCCCTTAAATAATTACAATAATACACAGATGATGAAGTAGAAGATGTCTTTGTTTTCTCTTTAGGTTTATCCACTTCCACAATGTTTTGCCAAAGGCTGTTTCCTCCCACCTGAATCATAACGGGAAATCATTTAAGTTATCAAGTGACATTAAACTATTGGTCCACAATTTCTTACCCGAATCCTTTGAGGCCAGATGAGTTGTGGAATTCAAACTCAGTTTTTTTTAATTAAAAAAATTTTTTTTTTACTTTTGAAGGGTAATCCCATGCCTATACCATATATTACACGGTAACCACAGTACGGTGTGGGGCCACTCTGAACAATCACATTAACATGACTGCAACAAAAACCTGCAAATATATGGAATAAATTAAGACAAATGGCTCATTTCAGTTCAGGTCTTGCCGCCAAATAAGTTGGGGGAAACTGGTTTTCAAAACTTTTTGGGTGTTAGAATTGAGAATAGGGGACTAAGGAGCTGAACCGACTGTTTCCAAAGATGTAAACAACCACCGCATCTAAGAGGCTGAGTGCCAAGAAGTATCTCTAGAAAGATGGATTTAGGGTAGTGCAATAATGAGAAAACAGCTCCTGTGTTTGTATAGGTTCTGCCTGTAGACATGAGCTCAACTCAGGAGGAAATAAGGTCTGACCAAGATTGTTACGGTAGAACGATTATAGAGAATACCGTGACATTAGGAAAAGTAACTGTTTCGGGGAAAGAACACTGCAAGGGGCAGAGAAACCCGCTTGTCTGAGCCCCTCCTCCGTGTTCATTAACTAACTCAATTATTAGTTTTTCAGAGTTTACCATGTGACGGGCTCCACGCTAGGACATGGAGAAACAGGGGCACACGACACAGTCACCACCCTCAGGAGTAACTGGCTGCTCTTTATCGAGTGCTCGCAATGTGCTCACATTCACACATCTCATCTCATTACTTCAATTAGGATTCCAAAGGCGTGGATCTGGGGTCCTGCTCTGCCATTTCTTAATTAAGGCTTACGGCTCCTCTCGGCCTCAGTTCCCCATCTGCAGCAAAAGGACTAATAGCCACCCTGCGAGGACGGTTGAGGTGAAGAAATGAGATGCGTGGGAAAGAATTCTGAACGCGAAGGGTGGCGGCCGAGAGGGAATCGACTTCCCGCGACTGCCCTCTGAGAGCAACACAATTTACTTGGAGCGGAGAAGCTTCTAGCAACTGGGAGTGATGTGATGGCGTCACACAGCACGAAGACTGTGCGGGCCTCGACCCCTCTCGCTGGTACTCGGACGGCGGCCCGGCACGAGCATGGGCCACAGGGCTGCGCTGGCCCCTTCAGGCTGACCTCCGTCACCACCACCCCCTCCCAAAGAGAGTCTACCTGGGGAGAAAGTCCAGCTCCCGCGCCGGGTCCTTTTCCCTCTCAAATTCACGCCCTCTGCTCCCCAGGCCTCCCTACCTCCTCCAACCAGGCCCAAGTGCCCCGCCCCGCCCACTTCCGCTTTCTCACTTCCGGCCCCTCACTTCCGGCCTCGCGCTTGCCAGCCCTCCCAGGTCTAGTGCGTGCGGCTCCGAAGGCCTCGAGTGAGTAGACGGATGCGAGGGGTTAAAATACCCCAGCTTGGGGGTATCAAGTGGAACGAAGGTAAATGTCTTCATTTAACAATCTGTTGAGCTGTGATGCTGCCCTAGTTCTCCTTCCAAAGAAGAAATTTTACAGTTTGTGTTAGTGTAATTTTAGCTGACTGGAAATGCCATCCGCCGCCGATTTCCACCTCAGAGGACAAAGAATGTAAAAGTCGTCTCTGGAGATGAAAAGGGCAGTGCCAGTGTGGTAGGCAGTGATGGAGTGCCTCCGGGAATG